ACTTACTCTAACAGCACGATCATATAGAACGATGCCATGCTAAGAGGAACATGCATTTGGGCAACTTTGTGAAACAATGAACGGTCATTCCTTTGTCCTACATAGTCGTACCCAAAAAGAAAAAGTGCATTTTGTTTCTAGTTATGATTTCTTATCATACTTTAGCATGTTTGTTAGAGAACCAATCAACTTTTTGGTTAGTTTTGGCACATCAAAACAAATGAGGGCTCAACAAATTTTATCTCCTATATTAAATTATTAAAATTAATTTTAGTTTCTTATTCTTTACAAATAGTTTTAACACGCTACTATTATCTCATAAACCCTAATTTTTTTATACTATTCAAATCATTCTTAAAACAAAAAGATAGTTTAGTGGACAAAGAAGGTTTGCAATGGGATATATCATGTTAAGAGCAATACAAAATTGTAAGTTTTTAATTTCTTCACATATAAATTTAGTGTTATATTTTTCTTCAAAATATTGGTATTTGTTTTAATATCATATATATTTTGTGTTGTTTAACTATATTATATTCTTCAGATTATTTTTAAGGATTTTTTTCAACTATTATTATTATTATTTTGAACTTTCAATTTAATTATCTAAAATTTTATTTTAGGAATAATGATGACAGGGGTATACAATATAAATGAAATGAATGAAATGTTAGCTCTTTTAAGATATATAAAAATAATAATAATTTTAAAACTATAAAATGGGGTATCTTAAGAAATAGAGCTTCTTTAGTGAGTTAACTGCAGCAACCACCCCTAAAGTTTCAGAAACTAAACCTGGATGCTAACTTTGGGTGTTTTCTGAAAGCCACCCCTAATATTTTGGAAATTAGTTTGATACTACCCTTCCGTTAGAGATGGCAATTGTACTCAAATTTTTGGGTACCTGGCTCGGCCCAGCCCGTACGAATCGGGCATTACCCACTGTTTTCGGGGAAGGGCACGAGCCTGGGTATGGTTTTAGGGCCCTCCCCTGGTACGGGCTAGGCTTGGGACAGCTCGGCCTGATTTTTTATCATTTAAAAAAAAATTAAAATTTTATTTTATTTGATTATGATTTTGAAATGAATTTTTGATAACAATCAATTGCGATTTTAGTCAAACCCAAGATCTCTTGTCCACCATATTAATCTATATTCACAAAAAATATAGTGATTAAAGCAAAGAGATCCTATTAATTAAGTTAATATGAATGACAAAGAAAAATATATCAAAGATTGCCCATGAAAAAATAAATTATAGAAATTAAAATGGGCCGGGATGGGAGTCACAAAAAGCCTGTCAGGCTGGGCCTAGGCATTACGCGACATCCCCGCAACAAGCCCGAGCCCAAGGTCATGGGGTCGGTTTTGGGCCTGCGCCAAGGGGTACCCAATCCCAACCCGGGCCGACCCGTTGCCATCTCTACCTTCTGTCAACTTCCATTACAATTTTTGTTATAAAACAGTATAAAATGACATTTTATCCTTGTAGCCTTATCTTTTTCCAAATTAAAAAAAATTAAAACTAGTTTTTTTTCTTTTTCTTTCATCCCCATTCCAACTACAGCCTCCCATCTTGTAGCCCCACACTTGCAATCCAAGTCATCCTTGCTGAGTCAAACTCCGCTTTTTTTTTTTTTTTTTTTTTTTTTTTTTTTATTTAAATTTTTTAAAATTGAAGCAAGATTTATGAATACTCTTTTCTGGCTCAGTTACTGCCATTTGCTTTATTAGCATTCATATAGGACCTCCTCACTTGTGGTTCTAATTTGAGGAAAAATTGAGAACTGTAACTCTTACTTTGCATGATTAGATTTGTTCTTTTGCTATGCGTTATATTTCANGGAAGAGAGAGAGAGAGAGAGAGAGGGGTTTTGGAGTTGGGAGGTGCAACAGTGGGGTGCGTTCAGATTGGGGGGAGGTTGTGTCGCCAGTTGTTTTTTCCCCCTGCAGTAGTAGAGTGTTGGGTGAGAGTGAGTTTTTATTTTTTATTTATTTATTTATTTTTTTGAAACTTTGCCTGTTTGGTATATTATTTGAAAAATGTTATTTTGAAAAACTATTTTAAGTTGAGTTGGATTAAATCGAATAGGATATGATTCTAAGAATGTGTTTGGTATAATATCAGAAAATTATATCAGAGTTGGATATAATGTGAATAGTTGTTTATTACATTTTTTGAAAATATTTTGTTAACCCCCTAATTTGTCAATTCAGCTAAACACCCCCCACAATGAAACTTTAAAAATTAATAAAAAACACTTCACCACCCAATGGGACAGCCAGTCGTCGACCACCACAATTGGACGACAGCCATCGAAATGGTGCATGATTGGTTGGATCTGACTGGTCGTGCACCAATATGACCTTTTTCGGCCAGATCTACGGTTGCAATTTGGTCGTCATTAATGGCCAAAATCTAGTCATCATCAATGGCCAAATAGATATGGCCGAAAATGGCTAGATCGATGCATCGGTCAAATCCGATCGGTCATGCATCATTTTGACACCAATGGCCACCGACAACAATGTCAGCGGTGGTTGTTGGCAGGCGATGGTGGTCTTAGGTGCATTAATTTTTTTAGATTGAGACTGTTACTAAGTTTCATGACTAACCATGGGAAAATTTGACTTTCATCCACTTTCCAAGAAAAGAACAAGCAAAAGCCTGTAAAAATGAAAGCCCCTGCTTGTTTCGTTCTTTTGATTCATTTTTCTATTATCCTATTTGGATTAAAAAACAAAATATGTGTTTGTTTACTTATTAGAATCATTATTCTGAAAATTAGTCTGAATCAATTAATATTTTTTTTTATTAAAAATGAAAAGAAAAGGGAAAAGGAAAAAAAAGAGGGGGGGTGGGTGGTATTTTTATAATGTTTAAAACCTTGAGGGTGGGTTTTTATAATACCCCAAAAGTTGGCATCTAGGTTTTACTTTTTGAAACTTCAAGGATGGTTGAAAAATTAACCCCTTATTTAGTCCATTAGTAAGGTGTTAATAGCTCCCCTTTAAATAAAGAGTGTTGTTGTTTGAGCCCATCTAAACCTTTTCTAAGCCCCATATTAAATTAAATTAATCAAACAAAATTAAACTCACACTTTATTCCAATATTAACCTTATCTTCGTCCTCAATTATCTTAACCTGCAAATCTATAATTCTAAATAACATCATATGCAAATAAATTTTGACATAATAAAAAAAAAAAAAAAAAAATCTCTACCTAAACCAAACAAATTCCATTGAATCTTGTGAGTTTTTGGTTTGTTAGAATCTATAAAATATAAAGATCAAATTATGCCTTAATCTCATAGCTTTCTTTTTTATCTCCTAGTATAAACAACCAATTTCTTTACATCGGTTAATTAATTGTGATTTTGCAATATTTTCTCTATCCATCGTGATTTTTTATTCTCATTTTAGACAAAATTTTGTTAATGATGGGATTTGATATTATTTAGAATCATTTAAAGCTATATTTTCTGAATCATTTAAAACTTAATTAAAGGTTTGATAAGGAGAAGATAAGGGTCTTTTTGGAAGATAATATAATTTAATGATTTTTATTTAATATGAGACTTCAAAAGAGATTTATTAGGGTTCAAATAACACTACTACAAAATAATAATAATAATAATAATAATAATAATAGAGAAATGTTAGTCTTACAAAGAGGAATACAAAAACAAACATACAAAGATAAATCCTACCCTTAAAAAAAGGGAAAAAGAGAGAGAGAGAAAGACAATCATGAAGATTAAGGGTAGGATTTGTCTTTGTATGTTTGTCTTTGTATTCCTCTTTGTAAGAGTAGCAATAATATTATGGACATTTTACAAGCCCACGAGCAAACATCATCCTTGGTATTTTTTGAAATCTCATCAAATCAGAGCTTAGACTTAGCCATTTTGATCAACAGAGTTTACGTTAAGGAGAACAAAGAATCATGGAATCATTTTCACGAGTGAAAGTTGCAAAGGCAACAGTTTCACTATAGAGGGAACCCCTAGAATTCTGTAGTTTCAAGCAATACATAATGTTCTGAAAACTGAACCGAACTGACTGGTCAAACCGGTCTGACCGATGACTGGCACACTCTCTGGTACAGTTTACTATTTTCAACTGTGCACCAAATCCCTAATTTGACCGTTGACGAACGAGGGGCTATCAAGTGCTGGAGTTAGAGAGGTTTTGTAGAGTGGAGGCCGATGGTTCAAGCCTCAAGGGGTGGTGTGGGATTGAATTTTGGACGTTGAAATTAGCTGAAAAAATCAACCCAATACGCGAGCCACGACCACCCGGGGGGATACCAAGTGTCGGGGGTAGAGGGGTTTTGTAGAGTGGAAGTCGGTGGCTCAAGTGGTGGTGTTGGATTGAATTTTGGCCGCCGCAGTCAGCTAGAATGTGGCCAAAAAAATCAAAACCTTAACTGTTGTAGGGGTGTGTTTGCAATATTTCAAACTTATAGGGACTAACTATTTTTCAGAGGTGTTTTTGCAAGATTTCAAACTTTTTGGATCTCAGGTTAGACTGCTGATTTAACAGGTTGGACTGGTCAACCCTAGACCCGGCCCCTTGGCCGGGTGGCACCCCAGGTCAAGTTTCAAAACATTGGCAATACATATAGATATCTCTCTTGCAAAAGAAAAACTTAGATATTAATTTCTTGGCACCCCAGTTCAGGTTTCAAAACATTGGCAATACATATAGATATCTCTCATGCAAAAGGAAAACTTAGATATTAATTTCTAGAATTTTGTAACAGTGTTTGCACCAATTTAGTTAGAAGATAAACGCAGCCCAGCAAATAACAATAAAATAAATTTGAAATGAAGAAAAAAGGTCAAGAATTTCATAAGACAACCCAGCAAGTAGTGGCTGAAATATATAAATGCTAGTATGTTCAAGAATTTGAAACTGCAAATGAAACGTATATACTGCACATTCTTGCACTCCAATAAATTTTCGAGGCTGTCATGAAACATCTAAATCAGTCATCATTCACACTGTTCATTAAAATTACCCAACGTTTTTTTTTTTTCAAGTCCAATAAAATTGTATTCCCAAAACTTCTCACCAGCACACAATCCACATCTCTACATATTTATTAATTCCTCCCCACAAAAAAAAAAAAAAAAAAAAAAATTTCAGATCTGTCTAAATTAGTACCATTCTTGAACAATGATCATTCCTTTCTTCCCTTCCCTGAACGTGTTCGTGTCCCCCAGCTAATTTCCTTTCTTCTTTAAATTTACACAAAAGTTTTGTTCATTTTCCAACTTCTTCATTCTTGCCTTTCTAACCATCTCATTTAAAGAAAGGGGGACAGTTGCAGTATTAGCTATGCACATTAGTAGTTACCAGACGTCTGTAATGAACCTAACAATCAGACACAAATTCTATACTTGCACGTTTGCTGTCCCCATTTCATTGTATGTAGTCCTAGACTTTGCTGCTCGGGAAGATCTAGAGGACCCACACAAGGGAGAGGAAGTTGATGATTTCTTTTTCCGCTTCTGTTTCTTGGGAATATTTGGAAGATCTGTAGGTGGAATGTCTTTAAATATATCAGATGCCGGTTGTCCTCCCATTGATTGTTCAAAATCTGTTAGAAAGAAAACAAAAGGCTGTAAGTATTTCTTGTTAGCACTGCAAATATTATGTGCATATTATTGTGAGTATTTCCATGATAATTAAAAATCATAAGGCCATTTCTGTGGTGTTTCCAGTGAACATTGATAAAAGTTTACAAGCATAATTCTTTCTTGACTAGACTTCATAAGGATGATCGCTAAATATCCAAACAAGTGCTCCAAGAGTTTTAGATTCGTTATAAGTTCATAATTGTAACTAATGATGCATTATGGGAGGATGAGACAGAGATCCCTAGTATCATTTCCACCACCAAAGTAAATCTCACTCAGTAGATGGGTATGCAATATATTAAAATGTCACTAGGGAAACCTGGTACTGATCACTTATAATATTCTGGATCCTTGATTGTACACCTTTTAGTTCTGTTTGCAATAATATCATCAGAAAAGTACAGTAAGCCATAGGAGAACAAGATTGAAGCTTATTAGCGGAAGAGTGTTTAGGAAACACATGGTTATTACTTGAGAACCTCGTTAAAATATTTGATATAGGAAGTTTCAATTGATGTACTGTCACAAGAATCCGAATCACATTCTCCCAAGCATGTCTTTTCTTGCTTGGACCGCCCAAATATGTCTTTAGTTTAGGCTATAAGTCCATAGATTCCCTCTTTTTATATAAAAGTGTTATCCCGTGACAGAACAGCCAAACTACTCTGCTCGTTTAGGGGAAAAGAACCTTACAACTTTTCATTACTTGCTAAATTAGCTTCAACAAATATTATGATAACAATAATACACAATTCCCCTCAATAGTCTAACTCGTGAAGAAGCCCTATTGCATTTGTCTTGCTTAGAAAACTTCATATGGTTATAACTTATTGAATGTATAATTTAGATTTCTGAACATAATCTTGTCATTATCTAACCTATTCTATCTAGTCTGTTATTGTAATATGCATAAATAAAAGTAGAGAAAAGAAAAGGTAAAGTAAAAATTAACATGCCTTGGGAGGACCATGTGGAAAGTGCCATATTACTAGAGTCCATTGAGTTCCCAATTGATGTTGAGAAATCAGGAGCTGTCTTGAAGTCATTCATCTGCATAAATTAAATAACCCACCCAGAAAAACAATTGTTTAAGATGTGAACAAGTTAACACACAAATTAAAATCTTTGCATAAATAAACACAAAAAATGTGGACTACATTACATACCCAGCTGGGTGCAGTACCAGATTGGCCGTCCCAACCTATGTGTGCCACATGTTTAACATCTGTTGGATAACCAATTTCCATTTCTCGCTCCTTTACAACTACAACAACACACATCTATTAGCTTCAAACCAGGACAAATTAAGCAACAAACAGTAATTAATGTACAAAGAGACTTACCAAAGATTTGGGAAATGTATTTGAAACTTTTGTATATGCCTTTCATTTTGGTTCCCATGGTAAAGATTGAAGGAAACAGCTATGAAACGTGCAGAGATCGATTGAGATTATCGTTCAGCCTGTTAAAGGAAAAGAAAGCAGCTGTCTTTACTTCAGATATAGATTTTTCTTTCTTTTGTTTTTAACAATTGTTGACACAAAAGCAATTAATACAAAAAGACAAATGCTCCTGCGTAACATAGAAGAGAAGACTAATTACACGTGAATCAGAAACTGTTTACCCCGTGAAAGAAGATTGGTATCTAACTGAAACTGAGATTAAAAAGAAAAAGAAAAAAAAAATATTAATGATTTTATAAAATACCTGAAGATAAAATGGCAGATAGAATGAAGAGAGACGAAAGATGTGAAGCGGCTTCTTTTCTTCAACTATGCGCTAAAAGGCTTCACATGCAAAAGCTTTCTTCAAAAGAAATGGAAACCCATTAAGGGAAAACAGAAGCGGTGGTGTGAGAATGTGAGAGTGAGTGTTAGGTGTGAAGATTTAATAAAAAGAAGAAGATATTAAGAGGATAAATGGATTTAAGAGAAAGAAAGTGGGGAGCCATGAAACCATTACAAGGAAAGAAGGTTGAACTTAGACAGATAAGAAGAAGAGAGTTTAAAGAAACGAGACAAAACAAATGGAGTGGTGTTGTGGTTGGTTGGGTGTGGGTTATTTATTGTTGAGCCTTTATCTCTCTTTTATGTCTGTGTTATTAAGGGCCAAGCCACATTACTTTCCAGATAAATATATATATACATTAAAACACTCTCTTAGAATGCGGGCTAGAAATCAGAGGAGAGAACAAATATCCATTTTTTTAATTATTTAATAGTTTAAGCTTGTTTAATTTAACACTATTAAAATGAAAGAGATAAAACAAGCATTTTTTTAGTTAATTAAACCACTTTTTAACATAAAGTTACATTTAAATACATGCGCAATGTAATTTTTTATTCGATCAAAAAATTGAGGAAAATTGTATTATAAAACATTTTTGGGATTCAATTGAAAAATAGTTTTTTTTTTTAAAGTATCTCATGAAATAACAGAATGGTTGATTTAATTATAATTTTCTCAAGTTGTAATTATAATTTAATTCAATTTGTATTTAATAAATACTTCCCAAATGGTTGGTTTTATGGATTCAATAACAGAATGAATCTTCATATACAAATGTCAGACATTGTGTTCAATATTTCGTGCTACCAACTCATCCACATGAATAATCAAATTCTTTGAATATTTCTATTATAACATGAAATACAATTTATGTAATGTTTTTATTAATATAATTTTGTGACGAAATCATACACCAATCTAATTCCCATGCTTCTCTGGCAAATCTCTTTAAAATGCTCTGTGATTTTTAGTCGTTGAAGGCACGTTCATTTAGCTGTTTCTCGAAATGAAACAAAAGATTATTTTTCCAAATTTTGGGGTTACCAGATACAGAAATGTGTTTATTACTAAATGGATCTTGTAGCAACTGAAACTTGGATTCCACAGAATCATATCATGCAAGTTGGCTTTTTTATTTATTTTATTTTATTTTAATTAGAACCTAATGATGCTACAGATGAACACAAACTATTTCCAATTTAACGAAAGTCAATGCTGTGTTATATTTTAATAATACATATTATTATTGATTATGTATTATTGTTAAGTGTTGATTAATGTAAAGGATCTTGTAATCAAAATTAATAAGATAAAATACTGTAAATATCAATTGGAGATAATATGAGAATTTTTATTTTAATTGTTGAATAATTTATTCCAGTCTTAAAATGTCATAAATTACTATAAAAATGAATGACATAATCAATATCCTTATTTAACCGCGTGAAAATTAATATTATATTGTCTAATATATTTTATTTCATCTCATACCAAATAAACTTTCATATATGAATTTCTCTATTTAAATTGTTTGGTCACCTCCAATATCCAAAACTTAGATAAAAAAATAAAATAAAATCTAAACATTATTTTTATAATACGACAATTCAAACATCTGTCTATTATGTCGTTGCGATGCCAGCAAATTATACAAAAGTAGATTAAAAAATTGTTTTGGCTTGTGATGAAAATCTTACATTAATTATACATTATGTTATAAATTATATATACAGGAGGCATGATCTCTGGAAATAAAAAAGGAGAGATTATACTGGACAGACTTAAATACTGTTGTATAAACTTTTTAACCAAATAAATTATAATTTTCTCTCAGAAAACATCTTTTTTCATACCCTTACTTTAGAATATAATATTGTGCTGAAATGTAAGTGACATTAAGTTTGTATATGAAACATAACACTTTTGTGATATATTATCAGTCTTAAGTACTTCTATGTTAAACTCATTCTATTAGATATTTGCATAATAAAAATCATCATTATCTTATGATAACTTTTACTCATCTTTTAAATAGATATACTGTATTATAAACCTAAAGCATTACAAAGTATAAGAGGAATTATTGTGTTCAACACTCAAGATTTTATTCATATTAAATAGTAGCAAACAGTAGGTGACACTGTGATACACTTCACAGGCCCTCTGTATAGGAAACTCCAGTAGATTTCAGCCATGCCCCTCCTCCAATCAGCTCCGCTACTGTAAATTTTTCGGCCTCCGTTCGGTTGGTAATAACATGATAACCAGCCCATTTCACTCTCTTGCTCGTCCCAGCACCCGGTCCTCTGTTGGAGTATTCCCCATAGTACAATGTGTCCAAATATTTATTTCCGTCCCATTCTGACCATCCAGCTGGAGCAATCAGGTCACCAATATAAGACTGCATAACAACTGTTCTTGAATACGCATGCCATGGACGGCCCAAATATGAGTGGATCGAGCCCTTAACGGGCTCAAGATCAGAGCTTGCGATAATTTCACATTTTTGGATGGAAGTCCCAGTGGTTTGGTGTGGGTCAGTCCGTCCTTGGGCCGTCACCATGTTGGCTTGATTACTCATGGGCTTTCTTGGTACAAGTTTACAGTTTTGGAGCACAACAGCTGCATTACCGAATATGAAGTCTACGGTGCCAGTGATATAGCAATCCCTGTAAAATTGGCGGTTTGAATGGGCGTAAAGAGTATCTTGGTAAGCATCAATACGGCAACGATTGATGACAGATTGATCAGCACCCACACGGAGTGCCACCGCTTGATGTTTTTGTGGCCCGGCTGTGTTTTGAAACCAGATGTCTTGGGCTATAAATCCATCCCCAACGGCAGCTTCATTGTCGATTAAATGGTAAATTAGTCATGACTAAAGAAGATAAGTATCCAAAATAAATAAATTAAAATAATGCATTAAGGAATGTTTAATTTACCAACAGTTGCCGAATTGAAGGTTGTATAATTGTCAACCACATTGCGGCGACCTGTTATGATCGTCAAATTCATTCCGTCTCCAACAATCATAATGTTTTTTTTATTCTTTCCCACCTCAACGTTTTCTTTGTATGTCCCTTCCTTCACATGAATAACATACCTACTCTTGCTTTTATCTGGTGCTGCAGCCACGGCCTCTGTCAAAGTCTTGTAGTTTCCACTCCCATCCTTAGCCACCACAACATTAGCTTTTACTTCATTAGGAAGAGCCGGTAAAAGCATCCGGTCCCTTCCAGTGACCCACGATGGAAATTTCTGGCTTATTGGGTGGATAACTTCGGTATTTGAAGGTGAAATTTTGACAAAAATGGCTAAAGAGTTTCTTGCTCTTGTTGTTAAGTCACTTAGCATTGGCTCCATGGAGGTTCGAGCTGAACCCTCAAGGCCATCCAAACATGTGACATGGTTGGTGAGAACGGTACTTAGCCATGCATGAGCATCTGCATCGGAATTAAACTTTCTTGCTTTAAGAGCTGAGATAGAGTCCGTGATTCTGTCAATGGATGACTCCATCAACTCCACACAATCAATCAACCCCGCTTGTTCTCTGGGTTTGTTGATCCGATGGTTGACATCAATTGCCATTTTGATAGTATCTTTAATGTTTAATGTCGATTTTTTAAGGAAGAACTCCAAAAGATCAACACCATTCATTTTCATGGCAGTGGTTGAGGCTATTTCTGAGACCATAGCTAAGCATGAGGCCTGATCGTGCGCTTTGGCACAAATTTGGTGCAGAGGAGGAGGATTTAAGTAGTTGAGGTGGACTGAATGTGTGGTATATAGAGTGGTTAAGCAAATGAGAGTAGCTATGGAGAAAATTAGCAGAAGAAATTTTCTTTTGGAGGTTTTGGGTTTGTCCAGCAGAGGCTCATGGGTTGATGCCATGATCAAACTTTCAATTGTTTCAATGTTTTTCGCACTGTTGGGATTTTTAGTGCTACTTCTGCCCTTTAATATAGCAAATAAGAGGGCTTTGTTAATTAGGAAAACAGCACAAAAGCAATGTCGATAATGTATAAACTATAAAATGTCAAATTGAAATAATTGAGCTGTCAATTAATTATTAGACAAAAGTTCAAAAGTCGCTTTATAATGGGCAATTATCATAGCCACCAATTTCACAAACACAGCCATTCTCGTTTAGTCAATAAAAGATAGCCCACTAAGCGAAAGCAATTAGCTTTCTAATTTGGCCCCTTTGTCCCACTAACCAGCTTTTGTTGGAGGAGTTTCGCTATCTCACAGGAGAAGTGTTACCTTCCTTTCTAGCCCTTGGATGAAGGTAAAGACAATTTTGGCTTTCGATCAAGGGCTGTCAAGGGATTACCATCTTTTTGGTCTTCCAACGTTTAATAAGTTATTTGTTTTGTTCGTAGTAAATTAAGAGCTAATTTAATGGATTTAAAAAACAAGTCAATGAGATACTTATTTTTTTTGATGCAACCGTGTCAGAATTTCAACACTCAAATTTTTGTAAATAAAATTTAATAATTTAAGTTAAAGATTTGAGTCAAAATAATTTCACCCTTTTCTATAACCAAAGAGATTACTTTAGTTGTCCCAATAAATAGTGTTATTATATTTGAAATGCATTTAAGCTTGTCGGTGGTGGAGAAACTTGCTGCCATTGCTCCCTTCACACTATAGTATGGCAATTTTGATCAATTAATGTAAATAAAAAATTAATAATTTATGTTAAAGACATTTTTGGATTTTGATCAAGGGATAATAATCTCATTGGTCTTCTAACGTTAACAAGATATTTGTTTGGTTCCTGTAAGTTATTTCTCCCTTCATAGTTTCACACTGTACTATAACAAGTGAAAAACATGGAATAAACTTGTTATCATACTTTTTTTTTTTTTTTTTATACTTTTTTCAAAATTTCATCCCCAGATTGATATTTTTCAAAAAGAAGAAAAATTCCTGTTACGAATTGCATGAAAAATAAGACCTCGTGTAAAATATTAGAAGTTTGCGTATGAACACAAATAATTATATCTGAAAATTATAAAAGGTGTTTCAGCTTCACAGTTTTCTAGAGAGGCTTTGGAGGAAATTATATAACATAATGGTGGTCCGGTTGAGGCCTTTAGTGGGGGCATAGAGGGGCATGAGATCGAAACTGATACAACGAGGCTCCTCCTGCTTAATCTGGGGCCAAATGGAGTACATTAATTCAACGAGGGGAAGCGTAATGGTAAAAGCATATCTAGAAAAGCATGGCGTTGTGATGATTGTATTCCTCACATCTTTTTCTTTCTTAGAGATAAATAAAGTGGACAGTTTTTGTCCATTAGCTGGAGTCATCATTCTTTAGGGCTTGAAAATTATGTGGTTGATATGGGAACTCATCTACCCCTATCTCAAACATTGCGATTTCCATTTCAATTTGTAATTTACATTAAGAGTTAAAAGACACGACTTCCTCCTCTTTGATGTAGAAGAATTTTTTTTCATCATTCTTTAAAATAACAATATTTTTTCTGTTATTAATAAATGGTTAGTGTATTGTTAGAATTTGTATTATTATAAATTTACGAAATTAGTTTTTTATCATTTATTTTAACACATAAATTTAATAATTGAGAGATTTTTATTATTTTAAAAAATATTAATAGTTTTGAAAACGTATCCCAATACTCCTACATTTAAGGGGGTTGTTTTTATTAGAATAAGTCAATATTGTTTATTTCCATTCAAATAACAAATTCCACCGCTTCAAGGGATTTTGGTTAGCGACATGGCTAGGAGTTGCTTCTTCAGTAGGTGGAACGTGTCTTCAGCCACTCATTTCTACTGTGCCACTTAATATCTTTTCAATTGCATAGGGCGAACAAGAAGTTTCCACCCAAGTTTTGGCCCAACGACAAGAAGTTTTCATATGAAAAGTTTTGAAATGACAGTTTCCAACCTATTCATCCAAAATTTCCGTTAATTTTAACTGTAAGAGGAGACAATAGTAAATTTAGTTTTTTTTTTTTTTTTTAATTTCTTTATAATATTAAAACATTTAAGAAATTATATAAAATAAACAAAATTTTTGGAAAAAAAAAAAATGCTGGCAACTGCTGTCACTGTTAGCATTGTTGGGTAGATCTAGAGTCGGCGATGGGTCGTGTCGGGCCATGCTGGCACAAAAAAAGCACGATATGAAAAAAAGCACGGCACGAAAATATGCGGGCCGTGCCGTGGGCTTTAAAAAAAGCCAGTGGGTCGACACAAAAAAAAAATTATAAAATAATAAAATTAATAGCTATTTTTTAAAATAGCCATTACCCCCCTGTGCAATAACAACTATTTTAAACTTAAAATCTAGTTGTTGAAGCCATTATGTGTATGAAAGATTGGGTGGCGGCAGATTTTAAGCTTCAAAATCATGTTACTGAAGATATATTTGAAGATTTTAAGAATTGAGAAATTAATAAAAATGAAATTGTATACTAATTCTTAATTCTAATTTCTAAGTTTGTATTTCTAATTTATAATTACAACTTATAAGTAATAAAAAGTGTTGAAATTCAATTAATATTTCAATGTCTCATTATTTTATTATATTTCATAGTGATTATATATTTTTAATTAATATAAATACAAAATGTCACTAAATATAACATATAAAATATTTTTATAATAATTATTAATAATAAATCAAAATTACCATAATTTATAAATATTAAAATAAAATATTTTCACAAAGCATGTGGGCCAGCCCATGGCACTGCACAAGGCACGAAACAATATATAGCAGGCTGTGTCATGGACCTTTGAATTTCGTGGGTTGGCACGACACAACAGGGCACGAAACGGTGCGGGCCTTGGCATGGCATGACCCACAATACGATGAGCCATAAATTTTTAGGTACGGTATGACACGACCCATTGCCACCTGTGGGTAGATCTTAGGTTGATCTAGCCAACAGTGCAAATAGATGAGCTATTGTTTACGACATTTGACTGGAAAAGTGGTAAATGTTTCCCGCTTTTATCAGTCAAACGTCGTCGATGACAGCTTCAACACAATCAACAATCAATCACACCACCCGCCTTTCCCTTCATCCGAATCATGGCCGTGCCCTCGTGGATCCGCCTCAACTTCAGTGGTTGCTGAGATATTGTAGAAACGTGTTCCAATCTTGCCTTTTTGTGTCTCGTATCAAGGAGGGTAAAACTAGCGGCAGAGAAGGAAAGAAGACTAGAAGTGAAGATAAAATTGAATGGTGGTGGTATTGGTACTGGTTCCGACTACAAGAAGAGGTGGTTGTAGAGGAGTATCAAGAGGAGGTAGTGATGGCAGCGGAAGCTACAACGGCTGACACGTTTTCTTTCTGTTTTCTGATTCTGTATAAATATCAAATCAGGAGAGAATTCTAACGAAAAAAACTTGAAAGAAAGGAGAGGTATTTGGGGAGAATTTGGGACGAGGGAGAGGGGGAAGAGATGGAGAATGAGTGATACATATGAAGGAAGGGAGGCAACTGGAGATGAAGAAGAAAGGTATTGAAATTGAATGGAAAGAAACGAAGGAGACCGGTTTTTCAGAGTGTGGATGAGATGCTGAAGTGGGCTGGATTGTATAATTTGACAACTAGAAGTTTGAGGGAGGAAGCGAATGATGTTGGGTTGACTCGGTTGTTGACTCAGGAGCTTGTCACCTGTAAGGTTTCTTGGTCTTCCATATGATTGTGCTCAATTTGTTTGAATTGGATTGGTGTTGATTATGAATGAAATTAGTTTAAGTTGTGTTGGAAAAGTAGTTTATGCAATCATGTTAAATTTAACCCATAATCCAAGCTCTAAATTCTGTTACAAGATTTCGCAAGTCACACACTCAAATTCAATTGTGTGAGAGAAAGTTTGTTTCTTCATGATAGGCAAAAGAAGAAAGGTATTTGTTTATATGAAATTTGCACCAACCTAAGATAGGGCTATAAATGAACCGAGCTGTTCGCGAATAGCTTGATGTTCATTTGATAATAGCTCGATTCAACTTGACAGCAAACTGTTCGCGAACAGTTCAATGGTTGTTCGATTCAGGTTCGAACATGGGGTATTCGTTTGATTATGTTCGCGAACATATTACGTTTGAGTGATCCATCCGTTCGCGAATACCCTGTTTGCTTATTCGTTCATTTATGTTCGAAAACATGTTATATATTATTATATGTATATTTATATGGTGCTAAGTTTATCAAGGATTTCCTATGGCTTAGTGTTAAAAACGCAATTCTTTTTACTTTAAGGTCCTTAGTTTGAGTTGCATTAATATCATATTTATATTTTTTCTTTTTTTATATAATGTTTTGTTTAGTTTGGATGAATATTTTTTAATGGTAATCAATAATAAAATATTATGATGCTTTTGTTTATATATATAATATGTTTGGATTTTTTTTTTTTTTCAAATGTCATCAATAATTAAATATATAAGTATATAACATTTTAATTAATAAATAATAAATTATTATGATACATAGCATGACAAATTTAATAACATAATAAATTGTATAATCAAGTGATATATAACATAGCAAATCTAATAATATAATAGCTTCATATTTTCCCAAATGAAATCAATAATTAAATACTATGAGATAGCATTTCAATTAATAAATAATAAATATTGTATGATAAATTGATGAACATAACATATTGTATAATCAAGTGATATATAGCATGACAAATTTAATAACATAATAGCTTAATTAAACCTAAGTTATATATATAACAAATTAATCACACATTTGTATTGATCATATATTATAATAGACCCTCATACCACTATGAATTTATGGGTGTTGATACAAAATATATATGTAGACATTTAAAATACTTATGATAATTTATGTAATGATAATATATATATGATAATCTATAATTTTGAGAATTTAATAACATATTAAACATATTTAATCTATGATTAATATATATGTGATAATAATTTTG